GACTGTTTCGTCTTGCTAACCACTGTGCCCGAGATCATCTTTGGTTACCTCAAGAGTATCTTGCCATCGGAGCCTGAGGGATGAGGGAGGAGAGAGTGTAGCAGACGCTGCGCAAGTCTGCCTAATTCCCGCGCAAGCGACCGGTTTCGCCTCCCCCCCCCCTCCACCCTGTTGGGAGAACGGTGGGCGCCGTCATTCGCGATGGTTGAAATGTGGGAAACCAGTGTTTGCGAAAAAAGACGATACAGGCTGCGCCAACCGCATAAACGCCAACAAAGTCGCTTACCTCCGATGCCGACGTCTGGTACGACGACGATTGAGAGGGAGAAGCAGAACAAGTGGTTGACTCTCAGAGCTGAGGAGATCCAGGGATGGCGAGAAGGATTTCTTCTCAGTGTAGTGATCGGCGACCGGTCGCGGAGCGCTGGGTCGAACATTCCAGGGGCGTCCTCTGCAAAGAAGTCACCAGTCGACTCGCTCTAGCGAAGACCAACCGCAGACCTCGAACGTCCATCTCCCCTCGCGGACAAACGGACTGGTGGGACAGCCATCCGGAAATAAAGCGTCAAGAACGCACTCAGTTCTTCCCGGAATTTATAAATACGAAGTCTGCCAACTCAGAGACAAGCTTATTGTGTCAGCTACTGTGGCCAAAAGGACAAATCCCACGAGGCTTCAAGTCTAAAAACATTGTTTTCCTATAAAAGCACAAAGAAAACGGTCAAATTTGTGATAACAACCGCAGAACTCGTATCTGGTGCAGGGACACATCCTGGAAACACAACGTACTTTTGGAAAACATCGTGACAGTTCGACCGTCACACCCGATGATGTCCACCGTGTGTGTTCCACAGAAAGATGGAGCAGGCAGGTGGTGACTTGCACGCGAATTGGTTTATAGTGAGAGTAGACTTGCGCTGCATCTACCGCCCTCTCTCCTCTCCCCCACCTGGACCCGGTGTAAAGACAGAGTCGAGAAGACCGGAGGCGGGGGAGGGCGCAGGTGGATGGCGCGGTCGGACCCGCACCTTGGCGCACTGCTTCACACTCCCTGGTCCACACAATCATTGGCCAGGATTTTAACCAACAACAACAACAACAATACCACGGCGGATCAGAAGGCGGAGGATGACAGGGCCGCCATGTCCACGTCGTAGAGCCGCAGGGATGATCTTCACGGCCTTCCAACTGCAAGCAAAATCTCACGACACAGTCAGCCGTTACGTACTCTGGAAGATAATGCTGAAATTTAAATGTCCAGGTCGATTTACGCAAATGCCAGAACAACTATATGTCGACATTACTTCAGTGAGGCATTCGCGGCGACAGGCGGGAGGAAGGAGAGTTGTGTACTCGCTCCCCCTCTCTTTACTCCCATCTTCTTCGCCATCCTGATGGACGCCTACTATTAGGAGCGGCCAATGGTTGGCATCTATTATCTTTCCGATGGAACACTACTCAACACCAAGTGAATGCAGTCATTTGCGATACTTTTCAGGACCAGCATCCACAACCTTCTGTGTGCGGATGACTGTGGGCTAGACATCACAACGGAAGAGGACATACAGCAGCGGAGTGTGGATTTCTATGCCTCCGGTCGCTCTAACTTCAATGTGACTACCAGCAATGAGGAGACGGTGGTTATACGTCAAATGGCGACTCTAACGAACTCCGAATCAGTGTAAAGTCGATCTCGCAATACATCGGTGGATAAATTCGTTTGCTTTGGAGGCATAATCGGTGAAATTGCAATTAGGATCTGCAAAGTCAACCAGACCTCCAGCCGGCCTAAATAAATCCATCTTGAGTGCAAAGCTGACTACGTAGAGAGCTATTGTTCTGACTGCGTTCGTGTCCGTGACCGAAACACGGACTGCCTGTAAATTCCAGCTGCTTCCGCAGATCACTGAAGGCAAGGTGGCAGGAAAAAACCGGCGGTCAAATGCGTGTTGGCCCACGTAGACGCCTTGTTGCAGCCTTGTAAGCCACCGCGCCCATTCCCAACACCGGATGACTAACCGTCTCGGGTTGAGGAGTCTGTAAGAGACAAACCCACTAGTTGGGCACAGCGAGTAGGCTATCCAGGAAAGGAAAATAGCAGTACCCCAACAGTTACAAACTAGTAAATAAGAACAAAGTCGTCAGCTGGTAAAAGTGCGCGTGCGTGTTCTTCGTCTTATTTAAAGTTGTGTCAAAGCGTATTGTAACTGATTAAAACAAAACGGACTTAAATGTCACTACAATACTTCCCCTCCTAGCAGAACAGAGTTCAAAAAAATTATTGTTAATAGAAGGAAAATGTGGGAGTGTTATGCATATTGTACAAGTCGGTAACGGTCGGGAAAACGGGCATGACGACCGCTGCGCGTAAGGGGAGGAGTCTGTGGAGTAAGGGAAGACGTGGGGTAATTGGGCGTAAATGGAGTCTGGGAAATAGCAAGTGGCAATGTGCCAAGTGGAGGTTGTTCGGTTGGAGAAGTTGGAAGAGGCTCGGTATAAGCCGCCTTCAAGCGATCGATTGAGACCACGTCGGTGCGGCCTCCACGGTCGAAATGGGCCGTCATAAGGCTGTTGTAGTGGCCGGCGAACGCTATCTACGCGGACAAATACAAAAGAACATGTTAGTAGGTTCGGGTCGACGAGTAAATCGGTCAATCGCAGTAAGTAAGTAGTTGCAACCACGAGATGTTGGAAAGGGACCTACCAGATCGATATGGACATGTGAAAAACGTGCGTCGGGTACGAGAAAAGTGCCAATGGGGGCTTTGTTGTGCCGTCCGACTTTGGCCTTCTGACAGGCCAAACATGAACGGTTCCACTGGCGGATATCAGTGTTCATGCTTGGCCAAACGAACCGCTCGCTGACGAGGCGCTGGGTAGTGCGGATGCCAGGGTGAGCTAGATTGTGCAACGCGGCAAAAACATCTCGTCTCATCTCGCTTGGCACTACGGGTCGGGAGGCACCGCGCGAAACGTCACACAATATTGTACCGGGGGTAGTGGAAAGAGGAATGGCTTCGAGTTGAAGACTAGTGTGTTGAAGGCTCTCCTTGAAAGTCGGCTAATTTTGCAGTTCTGCCATGCGCTCCAAATCGATGGAAGGACGGGTGATGGCATTAATGCCAGGCCGAGAAAGACAGTCAGCAACTGGATTATAAAGGCCTTTAAGAAATCGAATGTCGGTGGTACACTGAGAAATAAAATCGAGATGGCGGGCCTCGCGGGGTGAATACTTGTCAGAAGAAGTAGAGAGGGCATAAGTAAGAGGCTTGTGGTCAGTATAAATACAAAAATCTCGGCCCTCAATATAATTACGAAAATGCTTAATGGCTAAATAAATTGCAAGAAGTTCTCTACCAAAAGTGCTATAGCGAGTTTGTGGGGGTGTCAATTTGGCAGAGTAGAAAGCCAAGGGCTGGGTGCCAGTGGGCGTCTGTCGCTGAAGGGCAGCACCTATAGCGAAATTGGAGGCGTCGGCCACAATGGAAAGTGGGGCATCAGGTATAGGGTGAACAAGGACAGTTGTATCCGCAAGAGCCTTCCTCGCACGATTGAAAGCCTCTACAGCTGTGTCAGGAAAATAAAACTCACGGTTGTTCCCGCGTAAAAGGTTAGTAAGTGGTAACATTAATTGAGCATAATGAGGGATGAAACGTCGATGGAAATTGACAAGGCCTATAACACGGCGCAGTTGTTGAAAAGAAGTGGGAGTAGGGAAATCGCGAATAGCTGAAACTTTGGCATCTATGGGATGACAAACAGAAGCAGCTACGCGATATCCTAGGAAAAACAGCGACTGTGCGCCAAAAACGCATTTAGAAACATTAATGAAAACGCCAAATTGGTTCAATCGTTCAAAATGAGACGCAAATGTTGTAGGTGTTCGTGTTCACTGGAACTTGCCACCAGACCATCGTCGACGTAGACAAAAACGAAAGGTAGATCGTGAAGGGCTTCGTTGATGAAACGTTGAAAAGTTTGGGCGGAGTTGCGTAGCCCAAAAGGCATCCTGACAAATTCGAACAGACCGAGCGGCGTTGTAATCGCCGTTTTGGGAGCGTCTTCTGGAGCAACGGGTATCTGATGGAAAGCTTTGACTAAGTCAGTGTTGGAAAATATTGTCGCTCCAGCTAGGCTAGATGAAAAGTCGTGGAGTTGGGGAAGTGGATACCTGTCAGGCACAGTGGAGGTGTTTAACCGTCGGTAATCCCCGCATGGGCGCCAGTCAACGAGAGACTTTTTGCACACCATATGTAGAGGTGCAGCCCATGGACTAGTGGAAGGTCTAACTATGCCTAGCTCCATCATGTGACTGAATTCAGCCTTGGCTTTGGCTAACTTTTCGGCGGCTAAACGACGGGGACGGCTAAACACGGGAGGTCCAGTAGTTGAAATATAATGTACAACAGAATGCTTGATAGGTTGGTTAAATTGTGAAGGTCGTGTGATAGATGGAAATTCCGAAAGTAAACGATGATAGGGAGTAGACAAAGGGATTTTTGAAATGCGTGGATTAGGTGATGAAAGGGTACGAGTGGAACAATTACAATGTAAAGAAGTCTTAGGATCAAATAATTTATGCGAATTAATGTCAACGAGGAGACCGAAAAAGGATATAAAATCAGCGCCGAGAATGGCAGTATGGACATCAGCGATAGTAAATAACCAACGAAATGAGCGTCTTAGACCCAAATCTAGTGTTAGGGATCGTTGGTCAAAAGTTTTAATAGAAGTATTGTTAGCTGCTTGGAAGAAAAATGAAGAGTTTGGTGACTTACGGTCAGTCAAGGTGGGTGGGATTAGACTGATCTCCGCACCAGTATCCACGAGAAAATTACGACAGGAAGTCCTGTCATAGATGTGGAGTAAGCGACTGGGAGAGGATGTGCCGACCACGTTCGTCGCCCTTACTGGTCGGCAGGGGAGTTTTCCGACGCGGGTGTTTTATACTTGCACGGAGAGTGGCAGCGATGGGCGTTAGAACCATAATTGTGATGATATCAACAGAAACCATCAACTGTAGGTTTGTTTGGAGTGGGAGATCTCGGGCGGCGAGAAATTGCAGGACTACGAGGGTTATAGACACGAGTGGCCCGGAGCTGGGAAACTTCGAGAGTGAGGGTATCCAGGCGTTTGACAACATCCTCGATTGTGGGGGCAGTTATGCTTCGACTAGCGACGTTAACCGTAACAGGAGGCTGGTAGTACTCGAGTATACGGTCAGCAGTCTCCGCGAGCATCTGAACAGTCGATGAAGGAATGTTAGGCGCAAGGATGGCTTGCACAGAAGGAGGCACCCGTTGGAGGAAAAGTTGCTTGAACATGGTGGCATCCAGCTTTTGTCCGTCTGCCAACTGCTCCAAACGCCTAAGAAGCTGCGTAGGCTTCCTGTCACCGAGGTCCTCCTCAGAAATTAAACGTTGGAGACGTTTTTACGTTGAGAGGGAAATGCGGGAAATAAGAGCCTCCTTTAGGGCGGGCAATCTATGATGTCGCGGAGGTCGGTGGCGATGTCCGTTGGGAGTGCTGCCACAACATAGTGAAATTTCGTATCCTCTCGTGTCATCTGACGTAGGGCGAAACGGGACTCTACAGTGCGCAGCCAGAATGCGATGTCACCGAGCCACACGGATGGCAGGCCACGGCTGACCTGTACATTCCAGACTGTAAT